ACCCCAAAGTGGACTTTGGGGTTTGGGTTTGGGATTCTGTAAATAACTTCGGAATGTGCTGTGTGACCTCAAGCAAATCACTTAACCTCCCTGAACCTGTTTTCTTTCCTGCAAGAAGGGCTCCTCCAACCTTATATAGACAAGGGTGTGGTGAGACTCACTGAAACGATGAGTGTGGCACATAGTAATGTGGAACAGAGCATCTCAGGCTGTCTCCTTTCTACCAGCAATAGCCCCTAAGTTTGGGAGACTTCCCATCTCCAGTCCCTCAGAATTGGGGGTGGAGCTTATGACACAAGCCTAAGTCAGTCATCACATGGCATTCTGGGCCAGCGACTGGTTCAGGGAGTCACATCCCCCAAGTTAGGGCAGCTAGAGTAGTGTAGGGCTTTTGATGGAGATGCTCAGATATCTTGCGCCATCCCCCGTGCTGGGAACCCAGGAGCGCATGGTCTCCAGAGCTGCTAGAACTGTGACCGCATGAGGAGCACCTACAAATGGAGGCATTCGAGAAAAGAGGGCTGAAGCAAAACTAGAAGGTGGTGATAATATTTAGGCCTCTGACTCCAGTCACATCTGATCGTTTCCAACCTTCTCAGCAACCAGGGATCCCTTCTTTCTACTTCCAGGGATGTCTTTTGGGGCTATGGACCTCAGAATGAGAAGGTTTTATGACTGAGGTCCAACAGCCTCAAAGGTCCCCAGAGTTCAGAAATCTAGTGGCAGAGTCGCGACTAAAATGAAGTCTCCTTCCTTGTATTCCAGGGTGCTTGCCACCAAACGTAGTCCTCTGTCTGGAACCATGGCTCATCAGCTCTGAGACTAAGAAAACTGAGTAAATAAAGCAAAAGTAAGGAAAACCTGGAGAGATTTTCCTGAGGGGATTGAGGCAGGAGGAAAATGGGATGTGGGGCATGAGGAAGGGATGCCTGGGACAGATGGGGCACATGCCTTAAAGTGTCTTCCTGGGTGTCTCAGGGGCAGTTAGAAGAGGTGGAGGATGAGGAAAAACGTGAGTCTGGAGTTTTCTCACATGGGTTGCTAGGCGCTCATCGTTAGACCAGGGTGGCCTGATTGTGGTTGTGATTTGGTGGAAATGATAGCAGCCATGGTTATGTCAGAAATCTCTCTCCTGCAACTGACAGAGAGTCTGGCTCAAGTTAGCCTAAGCAACCCCCCCCCAAAAAAAAAAAGCCAATTGGTTCTTTAAGAAGTAATAATGGCTTCAGGAACACTGATCTGGGTGCTTGGATGGACTATCAGAACCCAACTTTTCTATTTCCATTTCTGACCTCTGCTTGCCTCTGTGGTGCCTTTATTCACAGGAAGACTTTCTCCAAGCAGAAACGTGCAACCTGTGCAAGCGAGTGTCTCTCCCTGGAGGCGCACATGCCCAGTGCGCAAAGAGCTTCTCTTTGCCAGGAGTTCCACCCAAAGTCTCAGGAATGTGTCTCATTGGCCTGACTTGGGTCACGTGTTCCAGTATCAACCAATCACTGGACCAGGGGGTGGGAGATGACAATTGGCCATTGCACCCTGGGTCCCCGCAGAGCTGCAGGAATATTTCCGAAGCAAATCCGATGGTGCCTCAGCATTGGAAGAAGGATTGGATGGATGGATGGATGGATGCTTGAAAAGGGAAAACAAAAAATGTCCTCCATAGGTGTTATAAGGTGGTCTGCAGATTGCTAATAATAACTTTTTTTCCCCCTGAAGTCAAATAAGTTTGGGAAATACCAGATTAGGCGAAGATAAACATTATTTCATCCCAAGATCTCTCTCGAGCCATTACCTTCCTACTGCACATTTCGCCTCTGCAAGGCGGAATGAGAGAACGCTGCTTTTCCCAGGCACTCCCAACCACAGAATTCTTTCTTGAGAAGCTTCCCCCAGGACGCAGGGGCCACAAGATGCCTTTTGGGAAGCACAACACCGAACACCCCAAAGAGCCCAAGAAGTCACGGTCAGTGTGTCCTCCCATTTTGCGGCGTGCTGGCCCGAGTGGCTGCTGCCGGCGTCTGCCTCCCCCGACTTGAGGCTTGCTTTGGCCACCGGAAGCCAGAAGTTATGGAGAATTCGATGGGGACTACAGGGCGGAGACACAGAAGTAACCATGCTCCCCCCCGGGAGGACGGCATTGCACACAACCCCTGCTAGTGTTTTGGGACCACCTCCCAAATAAACCGCTTGCACTAAGACTCTCACCTCAAGGACTGCCTCTGAGAAAACCCAAATCGAAAGAGCTATTGCCTAGCCATGGCTTTTAGAAGCACCAGAGGTCTCCTCCAGCGACTGCAGAGAACACTCTCTCTTCTCACTACATCGACCTTTCCTCCGACAACTACAGACTCTGAGGGGAAAAAAAAAATCTATTTCTGCTACCCAGCTTCCAGGGGAAGCTTGGAAGCTTGGAGGGATTCTTTCCACAGGCCACCTCAGTGGGCTCAGATACCCCAACCCCAGCCCCACAGACCTCATTACATTGACTTGGTCTGTCCTGCTTGGCTCGTCGACTGGAGGAAGCAGAGCCACATGTTCTTGCTGGTCCAAGAAGCAAAAATGGGAAGCTGTTCCGGCTTCAGGGAATGCTGCTACCCCCAATCCACCAAGGAAAGAAGTACCACAGTCATCTTGGACTTCCCCAGGCTTCACAACGCAGGGCTATCACCATGCCCCTTGCTTTGTCCTCCCAAGCATCTCCTTCTACCACCTTTCTCTGTTGTTCCTCCTTCACTAGCTAGCCCACCACCGCCTTTCAAGTGGATACTTCCAACAGCCTCCTCTCTGCTCCCACCTCAGGCCCTTTGCACATGCTGCTTCTGAGGCTGGAACACCATATGCAACTCACCTGCTTGGTGCAGACAGATCCATGACTCTTAAGCCTGTTTACTGTCTCTTAAAACTGCCCAACCCCCACCCCCTCTACCACCACCCATTCCCTCCTTGGGCCTCGGCCTCTCTTATTATGAAATCACTCAGCTATGCAAACACTTAAGAGAATCATTTATCAAACACTTGTGAACCCAACCCTGCTTAAGAGTAAGACAGTACACTTATCACCAGGGCCTTCCTGAAATCCTTCCCAACCACTGCCCACACTCTGCGGCAGGGGTGCCTCTCCCCTGAACTTGGTACTCTTCGTTCCTTTGCCTACCTTGTGTTCGCGTGTATCCCCGAACCATAGAGACCTATTTTCATGCTTTCAACTTTATATAAATAAAACACCTTGCTTTGCTTTTCTCACTCTATATTCTCTTGGTGACGTTAATCCTCCCTGATAGGAGCTACCCCAGTGGGCTGGGAGCATTTGCTGGGAGCATTTGCCCACAGTGTGACGGGACTACAAGAGCGCGACCCGCTCTCCCCGTGATGGCCTCCATCTGCCATCACCATTACCATCACCAGGCTGCCCCCACCTCTGGTATCCGCCCCCTTAGCCTGAGGGCTATTTGCTCAGGATTTTTACCCAGGAATTTGCTAGGTAAAGGGACACACCATCTTCAGCCTTACTGATGTTGCTAGATTGTTCGCAAAGGTGTTTATACCAACATACCTTTTTGATAAAGCTTCCTCAGCCCAGGCACAAAGGTGCCTCTTTCCTTGTCTGTTTCCTCCAAATAAACTGCCTGTTGACGTCCAGCCTGTCAGGGCTCTCCTCGGGCCTCCCCTCCCCCACTTCTCCAAGCGGGCCTCTTACAAGCCTCCCTTGGACAGCAGCCAGCACTTTGGACAACAGCCAGAGCAAGGACGTTGGCAGCAGGAACTCCAGAGGCCAACAGCTGCGGATAGAATCCCCGGTTTGCCACTTTGGCTGTGTGGCTTTGGGCAAATCACTTCTCCTCTCTGGGCTCGGTTCCCCAACGGCGAATGGCTATACCCCCAGTAAACCAGCCACAGGGGAATGGCAGTGATTAAATGAGATAAGCGTGGAAACATGGCAGGTGCTTGAAGATAAATTGTTACTATTGCCTTTGAAGCCCACAGAGGACGCCAAGAACTGTGTGCATCACTCTGGGCTACTTTGTCATATGCAAGAGAAACCCCAAGTCAAGCCGGTTGAAGACAATTGGGAATTTATTGGCCCACATAACTGGGAAGCTGGAGGGGGGCATCTCGCTTCAGGTATTACTGGATCCAGGAATTTGGACGCCAGCAGGAAGCTGGTCCTGTCCATTTCTGGGCCAGTCTGTCCTTCACATCACCTTCCTTCTCAGGCGGCTCTCCAAGTAGGGGGTCTTGGGATGTGTTCTTCCAGTTTACCAACTGCCATGAACAAGAACAGCTTCACCTTCCAGATTCTTCCTGCTGGCATCCCAGGGCCAGTCCTCAGTGGCCCAGGTTGGGTTTCATGCCCAGACCAGAGCCAGTCACAGTGACTGAGTCAGCCACCAGAAGCTGCTCAAAGTGTGGTTCTCGGAACGGGGCTGTCAGAAGCCCTCGGTAGCTTCTTTGAAATGCAGACTGTCAGGCCCGGACCTACTCACTCGGAATCTGCATTTTGCCCAGACCTCCAAGGGAATCATCTGCACACCAAGGTCCGAAAAGGCTGCTCGGCACGTTACCTTTCACCTGCCCCGGGGTCTAGTCCACTCATTGCTTTAAAGATGGATAAACAGGGGACCGAGGGGAACTGGTCTTGCTCTAGGCATCCGCTTCGCACCCAGGGATCCCCCAGGCCCTGCCCTCCCATCATCCCGGCCATCATCTGCCGCATCCATGGACTGTCTCATGGGGGCACGCACCGGAGCCCAGAAGTGGCAGCCTGGGTCGGACTTGCCTCGCGCCAACGTGCCAGAGCCATGTCTCTGCCAACATTCGGTGGGTCCCAGGACTGGGTCAGGACCGTCCAGAGCATGGAGGCCCCAGGGTGGGGGGGATGGAGACCCTCCCCCAAGAGGCACACACGGGCTTGTGCACACACACACACACACACACACATACTCCCACATGGCCCCCTCACGCGGACTCCCACCCACTGGGCCCCCTAAACTCAAGAGTGCTACAGACCACATCAGCCTTTATTCTCCTGCAGAATAGAGCCGGGGCCAGGGTAGTTCATTCTCAGGCTACGTCAGAAGGTGCAGTGCTGGGGGCACACAGGCTATACCCCAAAGTGACAATAAGTTAGGGGGGAGACTCTCAGACTGATCTCAGGCTGGCATCAGGGCGGGGTGCCATGTAGGGCCCCCATCCAGAGCCCTGCCGGCCGCCCAGCTCAGTGGGGGTGGGGGGCTCCCGGCGAGGCTGGTTCCAGGTCGGGCTTGGCCTCACACTGAAACAACAAGGCAGGAGGAGGGAAGGGTTGCAAAGTCAGGAGGTCAGCGGGGGTCAGAGGGGTCCCTGAAGGAGTCTGAGCATAGGGCTGGGGTGGGTGGGGCCTCTCACCAGACCCTCAGTTAAGGCCCTGCAGATTCTCATAATCTGGAGCTCCCTCTTCCTCTTCGTCGTCCTCATCCTCCACCTTCTGGGAGCTCAGGACAGCTGGGAGGGGTCGGAGGGAGGTCTTTAGCTCGCAGACCTCCCTGTCCCCGCTTCCCCAGGTGGGCTCCCTGAGCTCCGGCCGCCCCCTCCATTCCCACCCCTCCCCAGCCCCACACACACCAGGTTCAGTCCTAGCCATGGGCGGCAGCTCCTGGGACACGTTCACATACTCCCGGCTCCCATCTGCAAGGGGCAGAACAGAAGGGGGGGTTGGCCACGTGGAGGGTGAGTGAGCAGGACACTCAGAAAGAGGGCCACGGCAGGGCGAAGGACGGGAAGGGGACCCCCGTGGGCACCAGCCACTCACCCAGAGACGCATCTGCACTCTCCTCGCTCTCAGGAACATTCACATAATCCTCCCCGGACTCCACTGCAGGAGAAGCAGGGTGCCCCGGGCACCGTCACCCAGAGCCCTGCGCACAGACCCCCCACAGCATCCCAGCTGGCCAGCCGCAGACCCTTACCCACTGATTCCAGAAGCTGCCCCACTGCCAGCCCTGGGCTGGGGGAGAGGCCTTGGTGACAGCGAGAAGTAGGGCAACCTGGCCAGATATGATGAGAGGGAGTGGAACCACGGGAGCAGGCAGACATGTCCCCCTGGCATGTCCCCCAGGCTGGGGACAGGGACAGAGAGCCTACACTCTGGGTGGCACCGTGTGCACACAACACTCAGGACCATGCTGAGTCTGAAGTGTTATTCCCCATGGGTCCCATCAGCCAGACCTGCCCTGACCCCCCACTCTCATCTCAGTGCCTTCCAGCACCTGTTGCCATCGGCGCCATCTTGTCCTTTTATGCGGACTCGTTTCTCCATGAGGCCATGGACTAGGCGGGCTTTGGAGCCAGAGGTTCAAACCCAGCTCTGGCACTAACAGTCATGTAACTTCACATGAGGTACCTAATCTCTCTGGGTCTCAGGGTTCTCATCAGTAAAAGAGGCTGAGCAATGGCACCCGCCTCCCAGGGCTGTCGTGAGAACTAAAGCAGAGAATATCAAAATGAGGCCTGTCCTCCAACAAGTGTGTCTGGTAAATAAAGAATCCCTCCTGTCGCACAGCTGGGACAACGAGGCACAGGAGGGGAAGAGCTGGGCTCAACAGTACCCAGGAATCGTGGGGTTTAATAAGCTAACGCATAAAACACTCTTAGGAGGGCAGGCAGTAGGCCCCGAGCTAGCTCTCACCCTGACATGAGAGGTTTCCAGTAAGTACGGGCCGGGGGGCGGGTGATGATGAACCTCTGAATGACAAGAAGAGCTAGCACAGATGGCGAGCTGGCCAGAGAACGAGGAGAGTGACAGAAAACCAGACACGGAAGGCAGCCCCTAACAGGCAGCATGAGACCAACACGAAGGGAGAAAAGCAGCTCAAAGGAAACCGAAATGATGCCGGAAACAGAAGAAAACTTCCCAACCACCCCCCCCACCCCCAGCAGACCAGCTCTAATCAATATCCTTAGAGACTTACAAGATGACACGGCCTCTGTGAAACAAGATGGGAGACTATGGGGAAGGAATGCCAGAGACCAAGAAAGAGATTCCAGGCGGGAGAGACAAGAGAAGAGTCAGAGAGGCGCGAACTCTAAGAGACCACGTAGACGATAGAAGGGGAAGACAACGAAATAGGAAAGATGACAGGAAAAGGAAGGAAATCAGAGGATCAGCTCAGAAGCCCACCCTGAGGGACAGGGTGTAGAAAGAGAGAAGAGAGAACATGGAGGGGCGGCGAGCGTCGGAGAAATCACAGGAGAGGGAAGCGCCGGGAGGCCACAGCCCAGAGAGTCAGGAGGGCCAACTCACTGGAGAAGGCGCTGTCTCGGAGGCCGGGTTTGCTGGGCACAGGAGCTGGTGGGACAGCGGTGCTGGTGGCCGGTGTGCTGTCGGGAAGCACCTCCCTGAGGGGAAGTCAGGGGAGGGGGGAGGTGGATGAGCGAGGACCCCTAGGGCCACGGCCCCCAACCCCCCACCTGGCCACTCACAAGTAGCCTGCATTGGGATAGTCCTCCTCATCCTCGTCGTCGTCCTCACAGACGGGTGCTGGGGTAGTGACACAGCGATCAGCAGGGCCCAGGCCAGGCACCAGCCTCCCTGCGAGCAGGGCACCTGGGGCCCCAGACGTACCCTCGTTCTCATAGCTTGCCACGCTGTTGGCTTTGGAGAGAGAGCAAGAGGGAAGCTGAGTTGGCTCACATGGGCTCTCTCCTCTGCCCAGCCCCAGCCCCTTGGGCCCGAGCCTCACACTTACCACCATCTGAGTCCTGCCGGGAGGACGGCATGCGGGGGGGCTGTGGGGACCTCCTGGGAGTCAAAGGTCAGAGGTCATGCTGGGATGGGGCTCTGGGGGGCAAGAGGGGTTGTACTGGGAAAGGGACCCCCCACCCCATCCCAGTCTACAGAGGTGAGGGGAGTAGAGGGAGGATTCAGAAGGGAGGATGCTACTTACGGGATAGGGAGCAGGTCTGGCTGGCTCAGGGGTGGATAGGAGGTCACAGGCCCATAGGAGGCAGCTGATGGCCAGGGCACGACTGTGGCTGAGGACACATGGGACCAAGCTCAAGGAATGAGTCCGGAATCTTGCCCCTGTCCTCATGGAGTCCTTGGTGGACAGACTCACCCCGGGACCCCTCCCACGCCCTGGACAGGGCCGATGACACCCCTCTCCTTCCCCGTCCCCAGCTCCGGTCAAGGCCATGTGGGCAGCCACTAGGACCTAAATAAAGGCACACGCTCTCTCACATGCCAGGGGACCCTGTCCCCTACGCCCGAGGGAAGGGGACCTCCCAGGTACTCACGAGGTCGTTTGAGCACGATGCTACTTGGGGTCAGGCTGGCAGGAGAGACAGGGCTTGGTCAGGGGCAGGAGAGGCCCCCACTCCCATCCCCAAGGCCACACAGGGTAGGGAGGGGGCCATAAGGGCCCCATGGGCAACTCACCTGTCAGAGGCCGCAGTGTCATAAGAGCCTGGGGAAGAGAAGTCAGTGAGACAGGAAGAGGGGGGACGGGGGGAGAGGAGACTAAAGCAGGGCAGAAGAAGGGAGGGTTAGGGTGGCATGAGGGGCCAAGGAGGGCCGGGGATCCCTGCAGGGGCATCACTGGGTGGCCCCCACTCACCTGGCAGCTCCCGGCAGCGCACGCACAGGGCCACGGCCAGGAGAGGCAGCAAGACGAGGCCCAGCACGTAGGGGATGAGGACCACGGCCTCCATCTGCAGCAGACGTCGTGCACTAGGCCCGGCTGCCCGCCGCACACCCTCGAGGGCTGAGCTGCCACGGGGTGAGGGCTGGGCCAGCAGGGGTGCGGGAGCTGAATGGGCACCAGCCTGGAAGCCTGAGCGTCAGCAGCTATGCCTTCCTTGGGCCTGTCGCTGGGCCCCCTCCCCTTGTTCGGTGGCGTGGGGGGCGTCAGCACTGGCTGGGGGAAGCCCCGTGATCCCCAGGCCCTCCGGCCAGGCTTTGGGCCGGAGTGTGGGGTGCCGGTCCCCCTGCGCAGCCGCTGCGCCCCAGCCCTACCTGCCACTCGGCTAGGCGCCTGCTTCTCTCAGCGCCTGCCCGCCTGTGGCAGGAAGCTGTGGTGAGCCCCGAGTGAGGGCAGGAAATCATCAGGCTCAGCCTGGCTGCACCCGCCCCCTTCCCACCCCCACCCAGCCAGTGGGGAGGGGGAGGAAGAGGCCTGGAGAGCCACCCCTCCACCCCGGCGCCCTCAAGAGGGGTCTGCTGACCTCTGGGACAAGGAGCAGCAACTCCTACCAGAAGGAAGGCAAGACACTTACAGGCCAGCGAAGAGCCACAGCCTCCGTAGCTATGGCTGGAGGGGGCAGCTGGGAGGGAGGCCCTGCCTCTGGGAGTGAGGCCCTGCCTCTGGGAGTTCTGAGGGGCACGGGGCAATGCCCACCCCACCTTGCCCTGGTTGGCCTGCCAAGAGGGGCGGGCTCTCAGGGGAACCACGGGCGTGACTCACGGTCACACAGAGCTAGCTCACTCCATACCCTTGTTCGCCCAGCCCAGGAGGGCAGGGATTAGCCCAAGGTCCCACTGGAGCAACCCCATGGCCGCCGGAGTCTTGGAGCTGTGGGGGGCATCCCCTGCCGTCTAGCAGTCAGAGGTCAGTAACACCCAGAGAGACTCAGTAACACCCAGAGACACTCGGGGTCTGGATACAAATTTTATTCAGTTACAAATAGCACCAAGCCCCTGGGGCTGCTCCTAGGGAGGGGAACCCCCCCCTCCCGGACCCGCCACCCCTTGCCCTTGGCTGTTGCCGGTGTAGTGTGTGGGAGCTGGAACGTGGCCCAAGGCCACTCTTAGAAGCTGGGCCGGACTGAAGGTTTGGGCCCGGGCTCCTTCCGGGTGGGCCTGGGCCAGCTGTGGTAGGTATGCAGGCAGCGAGCCACGGCCCCTCAGATGAGCACACTGGACACAGGGACCCGGGTGGAGCGGCCTCGCTGGGGTACCACGATACGGTCGTCTGTGGGCCCTGTCTCACGCAGCAGACCTGCTGGGGGCAGGTGGTGGTCAGAGCCAGGGCTGGATTGACAGAAAGCCAGGGAGGGGAACCAAGAGGCAGTGGAAAGTAGACGGGGCAGCAGAGCCGTGGGACACTGTGGGACGTCAGCTTGGTGGACAGGGAGACCCAAAGCCGAACAGGGGGAAGGGTCGTGGGCTGAGGGAAGCCGGGGACACGGGCCGGGACAGACAGATGGACGAGCAGGTAGCATCGTGAAGCTGGGCGAGGAGCCATGGGTGGACAAAGGGAAGCCCCCACTGACCCTGCACATGCAGCTGGGCCCGCCGGCGGTCCCCCTCGATGAAGATGGCCGTGCCCAGGAAGGCGGCCCCACCCAGAGCCCCAACAAAGGCGCAGAGCATAAGCGAGAACTGCAGGGCCCGGAACTCGGACAAGAAGGAGGGCGGCCAGCTCCGGCGGAGGCGGTCGGAGATCTGCAGGGAGATGAGAAAAGGAAAGCCAGGAGTGTTGGTCCTGGAGAGGGAGGCCCAGAAGAACAAAGTAGTCGGGGCCAGCAGAGAGGGGTGGTCTGGAAGACCAGGGAAAGCCCCGTGGCCTCACTGTGGAACGGGAACGGGCAAAGACGAAATGCCACCCGCCTGGCTGATGGTCCAAGATGAGGGGGAGTCTGGCATAGAGCACAGACACTTCACTGGGCTTAGCCGTTTGAAGTCAGCCCCAGCTTAGGCCGACAGCCAGTGCCAGAAACACGGGATCCCCCAAACCCCACCCCAGGCGCAGCTGAGAGGCAGTGCTCACCAGGCCAATGAGGTAGGGGCTCCCGGCATCACCCAGCAGGTGGGACAGCACAATCTGGAAGGCCTCGGCAGTGGAACGTCGTGTGGGAATCACCACGTACTGGGGGAGGAGGGGCAGAGGGCAAGGACACAGCCAAGGCTCAGCCCAGGCTGAGCCCAGAAGGAACCCCAGCTCAGGGGTGTGAGTGGGCTATAGGCTCAGACTACAGGCCCATCTGGGGCTGACTCTGAAGTCGGTCTGGGTTTGAGTTTTGAAAACGGGGTAAAAGCTATAATGAAGGCAGGTGAGGCCTCCTGCCCTCCGCTCCTTGCTCCCGTCAGCCTCTGGGCTAACCCTGCAGTGACCCACCTACTCACCAACAGAATGTCAGCTACAATGGCCCAGTTCATGGACAGCAGTGTCTCTCCAATAAAGATGAAAATCTGGGGGGTTGGAGGGAGAGACCGGGGAGGGGGGGAAGGGGAGTTGTCTCATCACAAGAAGTGCCAACATCCAGAGGGTATACTGTGTACAGACCCACCTGTGGACTCATTTAATTTAATCCTCAGAACAGCCCTGTGAGACAAAGCTATTATTCCTATTTGACAGATGATGAAACTGAGCACAGAGAGGTGAACTCGCTTGCCAAATGTCACACAGCTGGGAAGAGCCAGAGCTGAGATTCGAAACCAGGCATTCTGGTTCAAGCTGTCTTCAAACCACTATACTGGTTGACCCCCGTCCCGCCACCTGTGCACCCTGGTCCCACCCCAGTGCACCCCAGACCCAGAACACCCCCTTTGATGGCTGCTGGCTACTCACATAGGTGGCCACGATGCTACCACGGGCACAGGCAAGGGACAGGAAGAGGAAGGGTGCGGAGCCCAAGAGGCCAGCAGCGCAGACCAGTGGGTCAGCCCGGGGGTTGGAACGGCGGAGGCGGCGGCTGGTCTCCACACCCAGGCCCACACCCAGGACCCCGGTCAGGCAGGTGATGAGCCCAAAGATGAGGCTGGGGGCAGGGGGAGGGGCATGGGGGCCAGTCCTCCTTGCCTCACCCCCACGGCCTGGAGAAGAAGATGGTCCCTCCCAGCCGCCCACACAACTCAGGTCCATCCAGGACCCCATGGGTAGTAAAGCTACGACGAGAGGATGATATCAGCCCATCGCCTATTTCCCAGCCCAGGAAAGCGCACTGGGAGAGGAAGTAGCCTGAGTCTGAATCAGTGACTCTCTCCACTCCATCCCCTGCTACCTGCAGGCCACCTAGCATCACCCCCATCTGGTACCTGTCAGAGGAAGAGCAGGAGTCTCCAGGAAGGCAGGGCGGGGTCTCCCCCAAGACCACACGGGAACGCAGCAAGAACGCAGGAGCCCAAAGAGCCAGGGAGCCCGTGACAAAGGCCACAGCAGTGAAGCCAAGGGAAGAGAGGATGAAACTAGGACTGCAGACATTTGGGAGGAAGGAAGTCAGGCTCCACTGAGGTGTCAGGGCTCTCTCCCTCCCTGGCTTATTTTAGTAAGGTCAAGACACTGGGTAGGGAAGCGGTCTTGGCTTCCAGATCTGGGCCTGTAATTCAAACAGCTGCCACAAGGGGGCAGTGGTGACCGAATGCCTGGCCCTGAGGGCCGGCCAGCCAGGCAGAAAACAGAGACCACACTCATGTAAATCTCAAACTGGACAGCAGCCCTCCTGCCCCGGGGAACTCAGATGTTGGGCTAGAATGGAACTAAACTCACTTTCTTGCCAGAGCCCTCAGATCTGCCCACCAGGAGGTGGGGTTGAGGGGTGGGGAGTCCGAATGGCGCTCCACAGCTCCCCTTGGTGGCTCCCGTACTACCAGGAACAGCAGCAGAACAGCCACCACCCCTAGACCTGGAGTCACCTGGGGAAAGAGTGGGCTTCAGGACGGGCACAGACAGGAACACACTGAACCCCTGGGGCCAGGAGGAAGTGAGGTGTACAAAGACAATTCGGGCCCCAAGGCCTCAAACCCCCAGCAGCTGTCTGCTCACAGGCAGGCTCTAAGCCTGCATTCCGAGGGAGAGGCAAATGCCACCAAGGGCCCCTGTTTCCGCAAGCCTAACTGCTCCCTCTTTGGTAACTGCACCCTAATTTCCTTTTGGGAAACTACTCCCCCCACTTCTCTTAATCCATGTGGTTCAAACAGGGCGGGGCTCATAACCCAGACTGGGCCGACAAGAGTCATGTTAACCTCCCTGGCCTCCGTGATTGATTCAATGGCAGGCACGTGACCCACGTTCATCTAATCAGACACCATCCAGGACTATTGCTCAAGGATCCAGGGTGCCGAAGTTTCTAAACAGGAAGATAAGCGTAGAGCTTTCACTGGCTTGAGAATGACACTGACACAGAGGAAAGTAAAGCGGAGAAAAAGGACGGCTGAACTCCTGGGATGAAGGGGGAGTCCTGGATCCAGCATCACCAGAAGCTCACCCTGGGACTCTCCATTACGAAAGCCACGGGCTTTTGTCTTCTGGGGCGCCTGTCGCCGGCAACTAAGAGTTCTGTTTAGCAGGTGGCTTCGTGGTGAGGGCAGCCAGGCTCCCTACACAGGCTTGGCAGAGTGACCACTGCCTTAAAGGTGAGGGGGTGGGGAGGATGGTGTCTGAAGGTAGGAAAGGGAGAATCCGTGAGAACATTGCTGACCTTCCCCCAGGCTGTGTCCACACTCACCCGCAGAGCCCAGTGCCAGTCCCCGGCCACATCCTTCACTTTGGAGCCTGCAATGTAGCCCAGACCACTGGGGAAAGGGGACGGGAGACAAGCGGGGACGGACGGTCAGTCTGGCCCCAGGCCAGGTCCTTCGGCCTCCTGCGCCCATCCCCCCACTGGACCCCCACCAGCCCTGAGCCCCACTCACCTGCCCACCGGGATGGCAAAATAGAACACGCTGAGCATCCGACTCCGCTGGTCTGCCACGAAGAGGTCGGCGATGAGGGTGGGCGCAATGGTGGAGTAACTGGCTTCCCCAACCCCCACCAGGCCCCGGGTCAGGAGGAGCAGCCAGAACCGCTGGGAAACGAAACATGGGGGAGGTGGCACCCCACCCTGCAGCCAGCCTCCCAGCCTCCCTCCCCAGCCAGCTCTGGAGAGGCGAGGCATGGATGGCGGGAGAGGCCTGAACTTGACAGACCTGAGCTTGAATCCTGGCTCCACTACTTCCTAGCTGTGACTTTGGGAAAGCAACTTAACCTCTCTGAGCCTCAGACTCCTCATCTGCAAAAGGGGGGAAATAATAGCTTGCTCACGTAACTATCACCAGGATTGGACAATATAAGTTCTATTTAGTACGTTGCGCCCGGCAGGGGCAAGATAAATCTTGACTTCTACCACCCAAGACACCTCCCTGGTAAGGGTCTCAGGCAGAGGTTTATTTGTCTACCAAAGACACCTGAGGTTAAGGACAGGGTAGGATCTGGCCAAGGAAAGTATATAGTGCCTGGTACATAGTGTCCTTAACCTGGGGCTAAGGACAGACTTCCAGGGCAGAGAGTGAGAACAGACAGAGGGGCTTTCAAAGGAGCAAAGAAGCAAC